TTTTTTTTTTTTTAAAGGTAAGCTGTATTCTTCTCTCATCTATCTCATTTTTCTTGATAGTACGCATCTATCTCATCCTCTCACTATTCTATATATAGTATGGGGGAATTTGAGCAGTAATTTTTTTTTTTCCAATAATTTTTTCAAGTTAATATGAATTCCGTTTTTAGACTTTAAATTATTATCTTCTTTCAGGCTGTTTTCATTCCGCCAGAGAGTTTTGGAGCGTTTTAAGGATGGAGAGAGTGATTTGAGGGGAGTAGGGTGGCGAGGGGGAGAGGGCGGTAGGGGGGGGGGGGGGGGAGACTCTGATTGAGGAAGAAGGGGCTGACATAACCTTCGCTGTCTGGTCCTGCTTGCAGGGCATTATGACGTCGAAACAACTTCTGCAGTCCTTGAAGAGACACTTCAAGGACCATGGCCCAGCTGGCAAATGCGAGCAAGGGTTCAAGGCACTGGCAGTAAACTACTGCGAGACGAGGTTCAACAGATGACTACGAAACTGAAGGACCATTTTCTTTGCAAATGAGCCTCGACTTGGTGACGAGACCGTTGACGGTGGAGGTGAGGATTGGGAGGGAGGCAGGCATCTCACAGGCCAAGGAATTGGTTGGCACGATCCTCGATGGAGGGGGTATTTCGGAAGGTCCCAGCAACCAACAACCGGTGAGCAGTTTGGTTGGTGGGACCACGGGTGGCGGTGAGGATATCTGCGGCTGGCATGGGGCTGTCTGCACTGCGGCCAGTTAGCCAGACACTGTCGGAGGAGGCTGACAGCATTGTCACCAAGAATGAGCTTACCACTCATAAGCTTGATCAATGGATGACGTGCACCAATCAGCCCTTCACCAGGCTGGACAACAATGTTTTCCTGGTGATGATCGATGTTGCCTGGAATGTCCATCCCCCTCGGGTACCGCCTAAGAGGGACTATGCGAGAACCAAGAGACTAGAGCCAGTACACACCTGCACATGCGGACGTGAACGGTCTCGTGAAGAAATGGCAGGTAACAGGATGCATGATCCAGCTGGATGGGTGGAGTGACCGACAGAACAGCCCCTACTTAAACTTGATGGTGTCATCTCCATTCGGGTCCGTGTGCGTGGAGGGGTTGGACAAGGACACCACTGACTACGCCAAGATCCTGGATGGTGTGATAAAGGAAATTGTTGGACCTAAGTCCGTGGTGGGCGCTGTCATGGACAATGCCAGGGTATGTGTGAAGGCGGGAAGATGGTGGAGGCTGTGTACCCCTGGATCTTCCACGTTGATTGCATGGCACATGCACTGGATCTGGCGCTTGAGGACTTGTGCAAGCACATTGGGTGGTTGCAGAGGGTAGTGGCGTCCAACAACAAGTTAGGGAAATTCTTCACGAATGTGGACAAGGTTTGCGAGCAGCGGTGCCACTGAATCCGCCCGTTGTAACCCGCTTTGCGACCAGCTTCAAGATGTTGGAGTCCATAAAGGCCGTGAAGTGTCCTTGCAGAGGTGTCTGGTGGACCCCGTGTGGAAGGAGAAGTCGGTGAGGCCGAGCCAAGTGGCGAACCTCTTGGAGGTCACCTCCATCATCTTGGGCACGACTGACTTCTGGTCCTCCCTGGACAAGGCTCATGCGATTATGGAGCTGGTGGGGGTGTTGTTGTGTTTGGTCGACGGATGGACAGCCTTGTGGAGTGGATTTGCAAACTGGATTTGTTTAACGAAGATCGAAGGAGATGAGGTGGACAATATACTAATGGACTGGTGGGCTTTTCTCACATCACCTCTCCATTGCGGAGACACGTTCCTCGACCTCGAGCACCGATTGCGGGACCCCGAGAACAAGGAGATTCGGGATGGCTTCAACATCTGACTCAACTTGTGGGCATCGACAAAGACGTTGTCACCACTCAGCCGTTAGGTGGACAAGTAATTGGGATGACAAATGCAATGGAGGAGGCCAGGGTCCAAAAAACAGCGTTGTGGTGGGAGGCTTTCAGTCGTTGGACCTTCTCCCACCCCGAGCAATCAAATTGCTTGGGCAAGTGAGCTCCTCCGCTGCGCACAAGCGGAATTGGAGACTGCACGAGCTTCTCATGGGCAGGCAGTGCGCGAGTGTCTTGCCACCAAGGCTCGTGAAGTTTGTGTATAGCCGTTGGAATATCCATCTGTTTCCAAGGAACCAACGAGAAGGCCTGGAGGATGTCCACATCCCATGGGAGAAGGACGAGCCGGTGAAGGAGGTGGAGGAGTGGTAAAGACGTTTGAGGCATAGATGGAAGCCGACCTGGTTGATTTCCCCCCAGACCACTGGCGGGCACCGTTCGATCGGGAGAAGTTCAAATAGTTTCCCGCGTGACGTTTTTGGTTCCAGGAGGCAGTTCCCTGTTTTTGTTTTTCAGGGCAAGCACCCGATTTCGTGACCCTGTGGTGGTGCTGTTTCAGTTTTCATTTTGGCGGCAGACACCCGATTTTGCCCATGTAGTGAAGCGATTTCACTTTTCATTTTGTGGCAGGCACCCGAAGTCGTCCAGTGGTGCTCCCGGGGTTCCGATCCTCGCTGTATGTTCACAAGCATGTACTTCCGGGTTCGAATACATGTACTTCCGGGGTTCCCATCCTTGCTGTGTGTTCGAATACAGGTACTTTGCGAAGTCACAGGAAAGAACCGTGACGTTTTAGGGCCTCGATGTATCACTCACCATATGTGCAAAATGAGAGTTAATCTCTTGCCAGGAGATGGAAAAATGCATCTAGAAGGGATGTCTTCACAGAGCATGGGAAGATACATCGGCATGTATTCCCCTCCACCCCCTGGAATTCGGACCATTTCTCGATTTATGTGTGTCATCCTTGCACACGGGCCATGCTAATATTGTTTGTATCGTTCCAGAACGGGCCCCTTGCCAGGGAAAGATGCATCGACATAATTCCCCCCCTCCCCCCCCTTAACATTTAGACCTTTGTTCAACTTATGTATGTCATCCTTGCGCAGGGGCAATGCTAATCTTCTCTGTATCGTTCCAATTTTAACGGATGTCCCCAAGGATAAATCTAGGGCCCGGATAGTATGACCTGCCCTGCTCGGTGCCACCTCGCCCGCTTAGTACCACTCCCCCCTATTTTTATTTCCAGCATCTGTGTCTGCGACCCCGTCAGAGTGGTGGAGGACCCGAGCTCCGCTGCGGGAGCGGCTGCAGCGGGCATCCACTTGTACTATTGAAGCAAAACGCCAGTCCAGTGCGACGCTCCCATGCGAGACCCAGCGACCAGTGTTGGGAAAACGACTGATGGACAGGGTGGGCCCAAGGGAAAGCAGCATAGAAAACGTGCCTGTTCTTTCTTTTTTTCGTCGTTTTCATGCTGCCTGGTCTTGCGCGTAACGGCCTTTTGAAGCGAAGTGATGGGCCTCGCTCCACAACTCTCCACATGCACAAAAGACAAAAAATATGGTTGTGTATCTTTCCATGTTCTAGCAGAGAATTCATTCTCATTTTGCACATTTGGAGAGTGGCAGAGCGAGGCCCATTATTGATTCCTAGACTGCCAAGAAATATGGCGGTGTATTTTTCCATGTTCCAGCGGAGAACTGATTCTCATTTTGCACGTGGAGAGTGGCGGAGCGAGGCCAGTTGGTAATTGTGTCTGGCGTTGTTGGGGGATAGGAGGAGGAGCGGGTGTCTGCCGCCGTGGGCCTAGCCGCGGCGGCCATGCGCTTGTCTCTATAATAAAAGAGAGTTGTAATAGTTCGTGAGGGATGGGCATGCGCGTGTTTCTATAATAAAAGAGCGTTAAAATAGTTCGTGAGGGATGATGACGATGACGGTGATGATGGCGATGGAGGTGGAGAGAAGAAGGGAGATATTTTGTCTATCATCTTCGTCTTCTTCCTTGCTTCATTCTCTTCTCATTCTTATCCTCTTCTTCGTCTTGATCGGTGATGGATGACATTGTCTCAATGTCGAGTTTTGCAACAGAATGCGGCAGGATCATAACAATTGGGAAAAAAAGACTTCACAAGTTCACATATTTAATTTGAAGTTTAAACCTCAGCTAGGTAAGTAGAGCGGAACATGCATACCGGTGTGCCACCCCTCTCATCAGGTTTGTCAGGCTCAATAACATCCAGCTTTTTAATAAGTTCATCTCGTGGTAGAGTCCGGTATTGCCAGAGCAAGCATATTGTCCTGTGAATGCACATCGCCAAAAATCAACAGAATGTTGGAATGAGAGGTCAGACTCCATTTCTAAACCCTAAATAGTAAATACCTTTAATAGTATTAATATGAGGAATAAAGGGTCAATTTTTGACAAACAATAAGCTTAACAAAAATTAACAAATCCTAAAAATAAAACCACTCGCAGGCTCCTAGGGCCATCACCACAAGATCCTTTGCCCACAAGATGTGTACATGTGCCCAATACAGTCCCTCCAAATTCCACTATCAGGAAGTGCATATACACATAGTATGTACCTTCTACATGTTATGTAGTACGTACTGGATACTATACAGTGCTTTATGCTATATAGTACATACTATAGCGTACGTACATACGACATAGATATGTACATACTACATATATGATATATGTACATTTATTGTCACGTTTCTACAAACAACAAGAGCATACTTCGCAAAACAAACAACAAAAAGACATAAGACAAACATGAGAAGCACACTGAAACCGTTATTTTTATCATTGCATCTTTTAGATCCCACTTTACTGTGCCTCTCACGTACAAGGCTCGCCACGTTGACGAACCTCAGTGCCAGCCGCCCACATCCCTGTGTGCCATAACAACCCACTTGTACGCTCTGAAAAAGAGGCAGACTAAAGGGACAGGCGATAAACAGAGAGAAAAGATGATAAGAAGACAACGCAAATGAAGCATATTTGCGGCGCACCACTTGTACGCTGTGAAAAAGAGGCAGACTAAAGGGACAGGCGATAAACAGAGAGAAAATATGATAATAAGACAACGCAAATGAAGCATATTTGCGGCGCATCACATGCGCCGCACACCGCACGCACATGCATGCGCACGCACATGATGCGGCACATAGTGAAAAATAGGGGTCGAAAAAAAAAGGGAGACCGGCGGGGTGTGGCAGCACACCCCAACCCTCCCCTCAAAAAAATGCTGGGGACAAAGGAAAAAAACAATTGGGGGAATTTGGGGCTACACTCTGCACCAGCCCGATAAATCAACGTGTGTCGGTGTGTGTTACCAGTCACATGAATTTACGCAAACGGGTAGTTCTTTTTTTTTTTTTTTTTTTTTTTTTTTGAAACAACTCCGCCCCTTCTCTTCTGGGGGGCATCAGTCCGGTTGCTTAACACCGGCAAGCATGAGTTTCAAAGTACAAATTATTTGTCGGAAAAGAGGAAAGCCTTACCCTTGTGGCCCTAGATGCCTAACAAGGGGGGGATTGCTACAACCGATCCCTCTTCCCATATACCATAGCCTCCCCGGGGATACCTCTGTTGGTCGGGAGGCTTCCTAGCAACACCCAGCCACACAACAGAAGGGTCCCCAGGGAAGGCCTGGCTCGGGGGGGCTGTTCTAGCAGTCTAACGGGCCTCACATCCTGTCAGTCCCACCCTCTGTTCAACCATCTTTTTTGTACCTACTAACACTCTTTTAGTCTAGATCCTTCCCGATCCCGGCTTCCTATCGCGTCCTCAAATCTCGTCTAATTTTTACACCAATCTATCAGTCACACCCTCTGTTCAAATCCTCTTTTTAATAACTAGTACACTCTTTTAGTCTAGTTACTTCCTTATACCCGGCTGCCTATTGTATGCTTACGTCTCCTCTAATTCTTACTCCTGTCTCCTTTGTCTTTGCTATCCCTTCCCCCACTTCTAATCCAGGCTTTTCAAACCTCTCATTTCACCCTCATTCTATTTACACCGCCCTCTGGTTTTAAAGCCATTCTAAAACCAGTAGCCCTAAGGTTTAAGTCTTGTCCCCAGCAGTATGTTCATCAATCCAGGTTAAAACCCGTATCCTTCACTCTTTCTTTTCCTTTTTTACCCATTTTTGGCTCCCCTCCTCCCTTTTTCCATCCGCACTTCACCCTCTTCCCCCTCCCTACTTTACCTTCTACCTTCTACCGGCTTCCTAACTCCTTCTACCCCCGTATCCTCCCATCCCCCCCTACTTCCTACCTACTTAAAGCCATTCTATTCTACTGACTGACTGCTGCTTGTATCCTCTTTCTCTGGTCCAGGCACATAGTGTTGCAAGATCGGTCCCAAACTGCAGCTGCCCTGTGCTAGGGTCCCGCGTCAGCATCTGCGGGAACGGGGCCCATCCCTGCCAAAAGCCTGCCTCCTTTGCTTCCCCTATGCATCTACTTCGGTGCAGGTCCGCCAATATACTCCAACGCTCTCTCCTGATAGGCTCGCAGTGACGGAGACGCTCCTTGCCTACATCTTGCCAGAAGCCTGCCTCCTTTGCTTCCCCTATGCGTCTACTTCGGTGCAGGTCCGCCAATATACTCCAACGCTCTCTCCTGATAGGCTCGCAGTGACGGAGACGCTCCTTGCCTACATCTTNCCCTATGCGTCTACTTCGGTGCAGGTCCGCCAATATACTCCAACGCTCTCTCCTGATAGGCTCGCAGTGACGGAGACGCTCCTTGCCTACATCTTTTGTTTCTCAATGTCCATAGGGCCCATAACACAGCTGCCCTTACAATCTCTTCCACCACCATCTCTCCCATACCCTGCCTGTTAGCTTTGATCAGGGTAGCCAGTAAGATCTCTGCATCGGTCGTTTCGTCGACCTGCAGCGGTGTCTTGTCTGCAATTTCCTGCGCCCACCACTCCCAGAACACCTGTACCCTTGGACATCGCACAAAGAGGTGGGGGACCGTTTCAACCTGGCCGCATTCTGCAGCACAAGTTTGGTTCTTATGACAACTTTTGTTTTGGTGGCCAGCCACTGCGCAGTCGGGATTGCCAGGTGGTAGATCTGCCATAGCAGGCCCGCCTGCTTCTGATCTGGCAAGGCAGCCATAATGTTGCATTGTTCGTTCCATCTCCTCTGTGTCCAATTAGTGAGTAGCCCATCCGGCAGCCACTCTCGTTTAGCCCACCTCTCCTTCAGTTCGCCACAGATGTTCACCGGTTCCAGCAGCGAGCTGTAAACATTCTTTGTGGTCACCTCTTGGAGCGTCATGGTTCTCCTGTGTCTCTTCTGGGGGGGCCATTCCCAGTCTCCCAGATTCCAAGTCCCTTAGCCGGATTGCAGTGCGAAAGGGAAAATATTGTCCAACCGCTTTCTTCCCGCCGTCGCATACCGCAACCGTTTCCACCAAGGCTCGTGCTATTCTTCTCACAGAGTGCAAATCTTGCAGTGGTTCCCCCAATCCCTCCCATCCCCATCCTGGCCTGTCTTGCCATGCCGTGACCTCCAGGTCTCCATTCGGCATTACCTGTTTTATTCTGTAGAGCCTTTCAGGCGCCTCATTCCCCCACTGTCCCACTGCTATCTCGTCTTTTTTTAACATTTCCACCCACTGAGATGGACTAGCATTTCTCATGTCCTTAACCTGCTGTGCCCTCTTCATGCGTCTGTGTAGGGCTAGGTCCATCTCTTCATTTGGTCGCCAGTCCTTCCGATTCTCATCCCACAAATGTCCCGCATTAAAAATGCCCTGCTCCACCCATTTCCATCCATAAGCCCCTCGTGGGCCCTGCCATGGGTAGGGGTCCCCTGCCTCGTCACAAATGAAGCGATTGTCAAAAAGCAGCTGGTTATAAATGGCATCCGCCATTTCCGGGAGCCGACATCTCACATAAATCTTCTTCCACAAACGGGTAGTTCAAACAGTCCCGTTGTACTTTCTTTTCCTCTCTATTTAGGGTGTACCGCACACTAATGCATCTGACTGTATTTGGAGCACGACTTCAATGTATCTGACCGCAGTTATGTCCAGAGATACGTATAAAAGTACTAAGTGCATGTCATCCTTGTAAAGCGGCCCAAGGAAGCTTCTCTATATCGCTCCAATTTTAACAGATGTCCTGAAGGAGCAGGGTAATTCTTTTGCTTTTCAGATTTTTTTGCTAAATATAATGGCCTTGTACCGAGTCGTGCCGCTATTTCCTTCATAGGAGTCTACCCCTATCTCTGAATGTATGCAGGTATCTTTCCAGTCCGATACTTTCATAGGGCCTTGCTGCACCATGCAGTGCATGCACCAAATGTGGAAAACGAGAATGAATATCCCCTAGCAACACGGAAAGATTCAACGGCATGATTTTTGCCTTCTGTGCATGCGGTGAGTGAGGTATTTTCAGGCACGCAAGTTGGCATTCAGGAGGTCTTGGGTTCAATCCCCATCTGCCTCATGTACCTTCCTGGGCAAGCTTGGCGCCCGCCACCTAGAGATAGGCCATTGCCCCCCCCCCCCCCCCATTTAGCAGAGACTGCTCCCCCCCCCCCCCCCCCCTTGAGCAGAGACTGCTGATGTTCATAGGGGGAGGGGAGAAGCTCGGTCTTGTTGCTACCGGCTGACCCCTGGCCGGTATCGCCAACCTGTTGTAGCTGGTATCACACCTGCTGGTGGGTGCAGCTCCCACACGTTCCCTTGTTGGAGACTTGAGCACGGATGTGGCTGCTACAGGGTTCCCCGTAATACTATATTGACAATAAAAAGGCCTGAAAGACCGACCTATCCAGATTCAACAGGTAATTGAATTGGTTGGGCTTAAAATAATTAGCCTTAAAAAAAAAAAGAAGAAGAAGAAGAAGAAGAAAAAGACCTAGCTGAGCACTCTCAGTGAAACAATTGCCACAACGGCTGGGAATGAGCATGCCCACCAAACACTCCCAAGAAATGGCACGTCATTTGCATGCCGCAAAATGGACACTCTGTGTCTGGATGCGGATGGTGCCTGCAGCCAGGAAAGGAGTGACACTCCTCTGCACCATGGATGCAGAAACCATGTCATTGTCACGATTGTGACAGAGACCATGACAGCTGCAACCGAGTGTAACAGTCTTTGTACCTGTGGAAAGGAGGTGGCCACAGAGTCTTGTTACATTATCCTGCTGCAGCACAGGGGCACAGGAATAATCTTCCACAAAAAAGAGTGCGCAGACGGTTTGTTGTGGTAAGATAACAGCATTGTCAATGTATGAAATTGGTGACACCACCATGCCATTGTCCCA